CGGTCCGAGAAAGTTATATCTTCTGAACAAAAGGATTATTCCTTGGACAGTATGGCCGAAATTTACATCCCAAATCTGTTAATAACAAATAGTAGAGTGAGAAGTTATACTATTTTCAAACGGCTTGACGATGCCACTCTATAAAAATCAGTGCAACCTCGCCTGGAAGGAAAGGTTTTGTTGTCAAAATGTAGGGCCGTGTCAAAATGTAGGGCCGTGTCAAAATGTAGGGCCGTGTCAAAATGTAGGGCCGTGTCAAAATGTAGGGCCGTGTCAAAATGTAGGGCCGTGTCAAAATGTAGGGCCGTGTCAAAATGTAGGGCCGTGTCAAAATGTAGGGTCGTGTCAAAATGTAGGGCCGTGTCAAAATGTAGGGCCGTGTCAAAATGTAGGGCCGTGTCAAAATGTAGGGCCGTGTCAAAATGTAGGGCCGTGTCAAAATCACTTCGCGCACGTACCCATCTTAATTTTAAATGTTTATAAAAACTGTCAGATTTATGATGACTACTGTAAAATATTAAATAAGGGGCTATGGCCTTTTCAGTTACTTTTCAAGCTAGACTCAGGCCAAAAAAAACATTATAGAAAGACCAGCCTGACTTTAAAGCTGTATAACTATTTATTTTGACCAAGGCGAATGCCGAAGCTGTAGCCATTTCTACTTTGAAAAATGAAGATACCCAAAAGGAACCCATTCCATAAGAGTCTATTTTTAGACATGACTACGATGTGTGCTGAAAAAAATTCTTCAGATACGTTAGCCAGTTTTTAGGCCTTACGCCTACACCAAATGACATAGACCTAACGTAGACTGGAATAAGCAAAGAATCGTATGAGAAATTCTTGTCCCATGTGACTTGGGTTTAAGAGTCTCGTTGTGTTTGTAAACTTCAATATTTTTCAATTACTGGAAAGGGAATCCTGTCCTAGACTGTTCCTTGTTTTGTACATACGGTATTTTAAGGGGGGGGGGGCAGTATTTGATATAACTTATTGTTATTTGTGCACACGAGTTTTGTGGTCTTATAACAATAGTGTCCTCACGCACATTTTTAAAGAGTTTCTCAAGATGTTCTAATGTAGTGCTTCGCCTATCAATTCAAGTTGTCTGTTCGATACGTTGGTTAAGTGAAGGCATCAAATAATCGATTATTTGTAAATAGAAATATGGCTTTAAGTGCCAGAACAGTGCTTGATTTTTTAACACATTTCCCCAACACCTTCTTCAAATAAATAATTAATGATTTAATTTTTATTTAAATAAGAAAAAAACCCACAAGAAATCGTTCCTGATCTCCTAAAGTTAGTTTGTATGAAGCTACTTGCTTCTTTGTAATCTGCTTTAAGGGCAATGTCGTCCGATTTGATTCAGCAGTTCTGAAAGGAATTTTTTTTTAATTTGTAAACTTGAGTTTCCACCAAATGTTTCTTCTGCAACCTTCGCTACTGTATCCTGAAGGGCTGTACTTACTTTGTGCCGGTGTGTCTCCGAGTCATTGCCTTTGGATTATATTTTTTAGCTTTCCAGCTCAACACCCACATTTTTTCCCAAACATTGTATGTCTTACACCAGTCTCGACCAGTATATTAAACGTTTATAGTATAGTCCAAATAACATGTTTGGGTTTGACACCTTCCCCCCCCCCCCAATAAAAATAGGGTATTAAAAAATTCGATGATTTTTTAAAAAAGTATTTTATTCTAATAACCTAATATATATAAACAACAAATAAAGAAACATTCTTAAACAATATTCTGTATTTAGTTAAAAAGCTATAATCTAGAAGCAAATAAATACGGCTAGGATTAAAAGAGACACCATGTTTTGGTGGTGTTCATTTTGATGCAGCTGTTCACTACTATGTTACAACCAATACATTGGAAAAAAATACCACATTCACATTCTTCATTCTACACACACATGAATTATTTTTAAATTTCAAATCAAATTTGTCCATTATAAATATTCCTAGTCTTGTTGTGAAAACAATACACTATAACAGCTTTGTGTCCGCTATAAATGTAATATACTAACGCATGCATGTCTTGTTTTTGAAAGTAATTGTCACAGCTGTTACTGAAAAGATCACTAGGAAGCTCTTTTTATTTAATGACATTAAGATGTTCCATACGTCTGACGTCATCATCACATATTAAATCAACATATTAAATCAACGTTTAGTGAAGAGACAGATATTAAATTAACTTCCAACTCAATTTCATATTCTTGTTATAATTATGTCTTTGACATTGTTAAGGTTTTATTAGTTTTAATGTCATTTATATTGTTTATATTTTCAAAATTGTTTGAAATCAAACTTTTTTTCGTGCTAAAATGCCACAAGATCTTTCTCTGTTACAGCACTCTGTTACAATGTCTGTGTTGTGGAAAAAAGATTTCTCTCTGCTATCAGACTAGACATATTTCTGTTTGGTCACAAAACTTCTTTCTATTATGGCACAGGATATCTCTTTCTAATGGCACTAGGTATCTCTTTATTTTGACACAAGACATTTCTTTGTTATGGCAGAAGACAGACACCCCTCTGTTATGGCATTAATCATCTCGTTACGTCGCTGGTCATCTCTGCTGTTGCACTAGACATCTCTCTGTTATAATACTAGAGATAATTCTCTGATGTCATTAGACATCTCTATGTTATATTACTAGACATCTCTCTGTTTTATCATTAGAATTTTTTCTTTTTTATCGCTAGACATCTCTCTGTTATATTACTAGACATATTTCTGTTATAGCACTAGACACCCCTATGTTATATCACTAGACATCTTTCTGTTATCCTTCTAAATAATATTTTCTACAACTTAATTTTTTTATTTGAAAGATATGTATTTAGTTTAGTAAGATTGAACACATTTCATTGCGTAGAGTTTCAAGCCATGAACAATGTTATAAATAGTTTTAAACACATATTTTACAACAAAATTAAATGTTCCTTTTCTTTATTTTAACTGATTCTATTTTCTTGAATACCTTTTAATAGAGAATTTTTTTTAAAAACTTAATGTTAAAGAAATGTAACTTTCCTTCTACAAATATGTTATTTATTATTTGCCCTTTGGTAGCGTTATTCCTTTTTTTTTTATGAGCTTAAAGGGGGGATTCCCAAGCCAACGATAATAAAAATGATATTACCATAAGATAACTTTCTAATATAGAAATGCATATGTATAAAACGTTTATGTAAATATGTGGCTGGGACCTACCTGATCAATCTATCCCCCCCCCCTTTTTTTTTTGGTCCATTTTGAATCCGCCAGTGGTGAAATTTATGTAATTTATGTTGTTGTTTAGCTTTCGGTGAAAGGGGCGGCAAATGGACGAACACTTATCCAAGCCCCGTAAATGCTGCTTATAAATCAAATAAGCGCAGCGTACTGACAGCAAAGGTAAAGTAGCACTAGTTGTAGCTTTTTAAAATCCTGAGATTCACGTTAGATGTGTCCAAATGTTTAACGTTTTTTTTTTTTTCTTCTTCTTTTTTTTAAATTAACAATTTATGAGTTTTAACAAGTAAAAGGGGAGTAACTGCTAACAAATGTAGGGGTCTTGAAATTCTTTTATTATCTTGCGTTGTGTCCCCTGCTACCCGAAATTTTCATTGGCGAAAATTATAAACATTTTAAAATAAATATTTCTGCGCCGAACACAAAAAACTTGAAACTCAAACGAGATCCCATCCACTCGAAATCAATATTTTAAAAAGAAATAAATGAAAGAGTACAGGAAAGCCGTGCGTTCGACCTCTGGACTCTAGCGTTGACTACAAAGTAATCTTAACATTGGCATTAAAATAAATTGTTAGAATTCTCGCTCATTATGCAATTGATTTTATTTATTTAATCGTACTTATATATATATATATATATATATATATATATATATATATATATACAAATATAATTTCATAAAATGCAAACATGTGTTTGCTTATATTCATTTGCAGTTGTAGAAATAAAGGGAGCTGGTTGTGTTGGTTCGACGACTTGCGACAGAGTAAGGAATGATGGCTAATGGGTTGTGGTGCGGGATTTGTTATCGGGCCTCAGTTGTTATGTTATTAAATTTAGTGATTAACTCGATGTTTGGAGAATGTATGGAGGATGTGATCGAGAGATGGGGAGATGAAGGAGTAGGTGATAGAGGGGAAAAAACCACCAAGGGGCGTATTTAGGGAGGGGGGGGGTTAAGTTGTTACTGTTTCTGGTAAACTCGATGTTTGGAGAATGTATGGAGGATGTGATCGAGAGATGGGGAGATGAAGGAGTAGGTGCTAGAGGGGAAAAAACCACCAAGGGGCGTATTTAGGGAGGGGGGGGGTTAAGTTGTTACTGTTTCTGGTCACATATTTACAAACTATAACAGAAGAAAGTCTAGGACACTGGTCCCCTCTGTTACTCTTGATATTGAAAAGTTTGTCCTTATGGCGCAATCAAATTACTTGTTAAAAGTGAAACAAATGCAAACATTTCGACATTGTTTTAAAACATTATAATTTATTATTAGATTGTTTATAAATTTTCAAAATAAATAAACCACAAACTGAAGAAATTTGAGAAAGTACAGGTGCAAACAAGAATACATCATTTTATTATCATTATTTTAATTGTTTTATTGTTATTTACAGTTTTTCAGTGTTTTTTTATACAAACGTATTGACAATGATTTATGATAGGAAAGAGAAGGCACAGTTGATTTACAGTAAAATGGCGATTTCATTATCAACAAAAACATACTACACAAAATAACCCGGAGAACGTGACATGTGTTTATCCGTCGTTCACCAACATTTGGATTTTAATCATATTTAATGTTCGCTCGAAAGTAATTTCTGTTTATCCCATTACAGTCAGACGATTAAATTAAAAACATCATCCATAAAACAAAATAAACCAGTCCTGTAGACAGAGAACTAGTTCCATTAAAATCATAAGACAGCTGACTGTCATAGCTGAATGGAACATTTTCTGAAACAATTGTGAATGATTTTGTTGTCATTTTCGTTGTTTCTATGATATTTTGCGTGGGTTTAAATGTCAAAACACACACATCATCTTCTGCATCCATGTCATAACCATGACAACAGATTGTGTTTTTGTACCCACTGCATTCACGCCTTTGAAAGTTCTTGAACATGCTCCTACCGAGACCGCACACATCGCACCTTGTACACTCAGACTGACAGGGTTTTCCAGGTACGTCTCTTCTATAATATCCGTCTTCACACATGATGATGGCGTCCCTTGTCTTTGTGCATGGTGCAGTAACAATCTCGTACTAATTTGAACGAAAAAAAAAATCTATTAAAATAACAGTATCGAATTTATGTATGAATTAAAATGAATACAACTTGATTAAGACATAGCTACTATCTTATTAAAATTAAAGTATTTAAATTTTGATTTAATAGGCCATTTGTACTTAGTCGGGATTTGAAATGTGTATAGCTGCCTTTAAAAACCCTTTTGATTAATCTATGCAACAAATTTAAGAGTGGTCGATTTCTTAGCGTAAGAGATAAAATGTATGTATTAACCAAGCCAGAAAATATGTTTGTACACACAATAATCAGATGGCACGCCTGGATTTGATAGAAAGTTGGTACCAAATAAATCAATTCGTTTTCCTTGTTGTTCTCAACACTTTTATTAATTTTCATCTCAATCCGTAGCTTCAGCTACCACTAAATGTAACATAACATTATGTTATTCTGATCAATACAAATGCGGCTTTTCTTTGAAGTGCACTTGAATATAACAAAAATCAAAATGTGAAGTATAAACTAAATTGTAACGTTGTGGCCTTTTAAACATACTTTTTGATTAAATAACAATCAAATGAGGCCTATCAAAAAAATGTGCTGGTCAAAAATTAAAATGGTTGAACCCTGTCCCGGATGTTGTTAATTTCATGACATCATCATCATCCAATTGAAGTTTCGAAATAATATTTCTTTTTTTTACTTTAAGCCTTGGAGAATTCATCATATGCAGAATATAAACCGCAAAAAAATCACATGTTTACAGTTTAATTTTTAATTGTTTATGGTTCAAACCCAACTTACCAACTTTGGCTCGTAACAACTCAAACACCGAGCATACTGCTTTCCTTCGGCCATTCTTCGTGTCATAAATGTTCCATCTTCACAAGGTTTGCATTTAAACCAATCCAGATACTCTCCTCCGCCACACACTGTTGCCTGCATTGCATCATAGGAAGGATATATTTGTGGAGACGGTGCATCTCTAGATGGTATGTCCTCATCACACCCACTACTAGGTGTAGGTTTGTGAGTTATCGCCAAGGAGGCTTGCAACAATATTACCAGCAAGAAAACAGAATTGTACAATTCCATTATCCAGCTTCACTTTTTGATGGGCATAATTGAAACTTTGACATTGGAAAGAAAATGTTGATTTTCACAAATGGTTTCTTTTTTATTTTCTAAAACAATCATAACCGGCTTATGTTTAGAACAATTTCTGTTACATTGTACTTCATTTATTCTTTTCAAAAGATTTTCAACAGTACAATTAAAAGAAAATAAACATTAAGACTGATGCACACAATGTGATCTAATATGATACAATATCACTGGCTGTTTACGTGTGTGGTAGCACCTTTGTTAAGTAAAACTTAGAACAGTCTTTCTTTGCTTAATGCATTTTATACATTTTAAATTTGTTCCATGTTTCAGATGTTTAAACTCGTCTCTGATAGAAAGTATTTTTTAATTATTTTTTTTTTTATATAATACATTTGTGTTCACTAAGGCTAATATTCCTTTTTATTTACATTTCTAATCACATAAATAAAAATGTAATATAAATAGTTTCTAGTTATCGGAAATCCTCAGTCCAATGGAGAAAACATAGACTAACACCGACAAACTACGGAACTGAAGCCATAGAAAAGACAAACGCAAAAGAAATATATGTGATACCATACCTAGTAAAACGGCAATTGTTAGTAATGTATTTAAAATAATACAATTTTCATAGCCTAACCGATCTAAACATAGAAACCCTTACGTGATAATTTACTTTAATATATTATCTTTAGCGATAAATTTTTTGAAAAGGAAATAGCTACTCCACCTTAAATTATCTCACTGTCATAACGATCGTCTGCCAGTGGCTAACGTTCCCTTGTGTCACATTCAATAGGAATTTTAACAAGTTTAGCGGTAAGATTATACTACATTTATAGCAGTGAGGCTCCCATAAAGCTGTGTACAACTGTTCGCCTCCAGGGCCTGATTAGCGAAGTTTAGCGAAGCGAAACAAAACATAGCTTATCTGATCTTTTCGTCCTCTGATGAAATAATGTCACCCTGTTCATACAAAAAGAGTCGGGCTAATAATCCAACCATGTCGAGTAAACATACAGGACATTTGGACAGAAATAAAAGTTCTTGAATAATTAAAAGCAATGTATTGCACGCAGCGGTAATCATGCGTCAAATTCACGAACTGGCTGAGGTCAAGCAGGATATTTCCCTGAAAAAGCCATGGGGAAAGTATCTGAAACACACTGGGTTTTTTTTTTTTTTTTGGTAATTTTTTTTTTTTTTATTTTTTTGGCAGGTCACTTGCAAAACCTACAAAGAAATTTTTAGTTGAGAAAAAGCTGTTTTTTAATTTGGACAGAAATAAAAGTTCTTGAATAATTAAAAGCAATGTATTGCACGCAGCGGTAATCATGCGTCAAATTCACGAACTGGCTGAGGTCAAGCAGGATATTTCCCTGAAAAAGCCATGGGAAAAGTATCTGAAACACACTGGGTTTTTTTTTTTTTTTTTCTCTGGTAATTTTTTTTTTTTTTTTTTTTGGTAATTTTTTCTTTTTTTATTCTTTGAGCAGGTCACTTGCAAAACCTACAAAGAAATTTCTAGTTGAGAAAAAGCTGTTTTTTGTAAATTATTATTAAGTAGCCAATAAATCGTGTATATTTTTGTAAAGTAGACTTTTCAGAGACATTTCAGACTTAAATAAACCCTCTTATTCTCTAAATACGTAAAATACTGTTTTTAAAGTGCCCTCCTTATTTGTAATAGTTTATTTATGAAAGCTTTAAAATAAACATAGTGGCAAATGGTTATGTTGCAGACATAAAAAAATGTTAAGATAAAATAAAGTAATTTGAGGGTTGGGGGGGGGGGGGAAGAAAAAAAAAAAAAATTGAAAAAAAAAAAAAAATCTGTGGGGGGGGGGGGGGGGGGGGGGGTAATATAAAAAAAATGATAGACAGTGTGACAGATATATTCAAACACTCATGGAAACACGAAACTATGCAATTGTAAAAAAACAAATTAACGATCAACAAGGAGCACAACAATCCCATGGGATTCACATTCACACTTTGATGTTGAAAAAAGACCATAAAATGGTATTGTTAATTTCAAAAGATAAGATACCCATTAAAGAAAGTAATAAACATAATAAACATTTTTGTCTCGTAATATTTTACGACATTGAAATTTCAGCAGTTTTTTCATGCATCTAGACATCGGTTTCTTCAGATATCTACGACGGAACTTAGATAATTAGTAAAGAAACCTCTGAAATGCGCCCATTAGAGAAGAGTTGAAAATCATATGATACATATGAGAGAAAAATAATACAGAGAAGTTTTAGTTTCTAATATAAAACTCAACTCAATTGGAAAGAATTAAATTGTTTGTAGATAATAGCATACACAGTTACAAGCATAGACACGTATACAGTCAAATTTGTGAAGTGCAATAAGTTTTATTTTCAATCACCCAATATATGAACAGAAATAAACGATCTCATTAAATGTATTGAAGTAGTTGCCATAATGAGAACACATTTACCTCGGAATTTAAATAATAAATAATAATTTAAACGATTCATTTAACTGTATCGGCAAGGTATGTTCAAAATAAAAAACACAATTAGTGAAACTAAACACAGTGTAATACTTGCTTTTTTTGCTTAAGACAGAAACTGATATCACTTGATATTCACCATAATTGTCCATAACGTCACTGTCTTGTTAGGAGCGATTTGTCGAGTATGAGCGTTCATTAGTAATTGTTGCGACTCAATATTATGTTCATTAGTTGTTGAACGCATTTACCGCGCTTGACTCTTATAGTTATTGAACGCTCTTCCCGCCATTGTCTCTATGACGTATTTTTATGCTGATTCGTAACGTTATGTCTACGCGGTTATTGTTACGTATGTTTAGTCGTGCGTCAGTCTTGAGTGGAACTTTGGAGTGATAGTATGTGTATTATTTAGGTCTGATAGCGAGCTGCGCTATATTCACATTGTTAGGTGTATTATATTTACATAGAAATTAAAGTTATAATTATTATGAAAAGGAGTTGAGTTTGTTCAATGATAGTAGGAAAAGTACGACGCTTCAACGTGTGAAAAGAACTTGACGAATGTAATCAATCCAAGAAGACTGTAGGAGTTGACACGATTAATGTATTCGTCAAAATTAAATTATCCTTGATGTGACAACAAACGGTGTTTTGGATACCACCACATGCACGACCTTCAAAAGTTTAACCATATTTCTCCCATGCCATCAAACTTCGCACCTTCTGCACGTAGACTGAGAGGGTTTTCCCGGTGTGTCATATTCGAAATACCCATCTTCACAAATTGTAGTGGTATAGCAGTCGTCTCGGTGCAAGGCACGGTAACAATCTCGTACTGTGGACTATAAAAAGGAGTTAACATCTATAACATAAACAGACAAGAGAGAAAGACTAGAATACGATTGGAATCAATTTAACATCTACAGTACATTTAATTTTTTCCGCGAAAAAGAAAATAATTCTAATTTCATTAACATCCACACCAATATTGTGTGGCATAAGAAGATGTTTGGATGGAATATTTGAATAGCTATTTCTGTGACTTCCATGAGGTAACGATAGGGTTGATGTTATGAGCAGAATCCCTCCTAATGATATCACTATATAATCCATTACCCGAATGCCATTTTTTTTAAAACTTGAGCCATGTAAAATTATATTATTATTAATAATATATACTATTTGTGTAAGCTTGGTTTTAATGACTTACAGTAAATAAATAACTCAGTCATCAAAGCACTGCCAGTCAACGCTAAAGCATCACACTGTTACTAATAAATACATAGACTAATAGTTTGCTAGAGATTTAAATAGTAAGATGTATTGTGTCGTAACCTAAATGTATGGAAACAACTCAATTATTAACCAATTTATTCTAATTAACTTTAAGAACATGCAGTTATGGACAAATCAGACTGCTAGCAATTCAGCCATGAATGACCTCAAGAAATGATATTAAATATATACTAAAAATAGCTCATTTATATTGATCAGTTTGCTTGATCATATTGATCATTCAGTGTGACATTTGACATAATTTTAAACAGGTAATCGAAGATTAGCTTTCAAAAAAAAAAAAAAAATTCTCAAACTGGGATACATGAATTCCCTGATAGATATGTGGTATCTGAAATGTTTGTACTTATTAAAAATTAGGTTAACTACTGCAAGAACTCTTGTTCCAAGCTGTATCTAATATTTTTGCATATCTTAATTTCACTCGCCATTTTGAAAAAAAAGGAGTTATTTTGAAAAAAAAAGTTTGATTTACCATTTTTAAAAAAAAATCGTCCATGTTTCTTTGTTTTGACAGATAAACTTCCAGCGAAATTGAATCATCCCCTCTTGTAGATAATTTTATGTCACATTAAACAACCAGAAAGGCATATTTTCCAATATGAAACGATCTCAGCCTAAAAAAAAAAGATTTTAGTAACACCATTGTCTCAAATCATTTCTTTTATTTCCAAACGGTTGTAAAATATAATAGTATCATACGTGATCTTGACGTGCTCACGTGGTATTTATGGTGCGCACCTCCAGTCTGTTGGTGTGGTTTCATTTAAGCGAAACCGTCCCTAACAAGTGACGCGCCAAACTTTCTGCACCATGTTTATGATAACAATTATAATGACGCTGAAAATTAATATTTGACCCCGTGTGGTCAGATACATTTGTTTTTTTTTTTTGTTTTTTTTCTCTTGTATTTTTTTTCCTTCATCTTCTTCCCTGCTATTGAATGAAACAGTATCATCATACCATTTTCATTATTTTATAGGATATGATAGATTAATTTCGACATGGCTCATGTCCCATATTTAGCAGCAAATAACTCCTTTTAAACACAATGATTATGTTCCACTAATTAAATATCAAAATCTTGACCAACCAATTCTAATATGTTCTTTGCGTTTGTCTTTGTAAGCATCTTCGACAAAAAATACAAGATAATGAAAACAAAGCTCTTTAAAAATACTCATGGCCTTTAAAATAGGTCAAACTCTGAGATCTAAGACTCATCCGCTCTCATACGATTTAATAATATATCCGCAAACGTCTGCTAGGTTGGCCAATCAGAAAATTGATTTAATCTTGGTTAGTGCGAGTTCATTAAACTTATATTAGAAAACGCCAAAGATTTTTTTTTAACAGTAACACTTTATTTTGTGGAAATTTCAGACAATATACATATATAATTTTTTTTTTGTATTACCTACAATACTTTTGATTAACTGCATGATGAGATAAAGTTAACATCTAGTACTTCATGATGAGATAAAGTTAACATCTAGTACTTCATGATGAGATAAAGTTAACATCTAGTACTTCATGATGAGATAAAGTTAACTTCTAGTGCTTCATGATGAGATAAAGTTAACATCTAGTACTTCATGATGAGATAAATTTAACATCTAGTACTTCATGATGAGATAAAGTTAAATTTTAGTACTTCATGGTGAGATAAAGTTTACATCTAGTACTTCATGATGACATAAAGTTAACATCTAGTATTTCATGGTGAGATAAAGTTAACATCTAGTACTTCATGATGAGATAAAGTGTTACCGGTAATAACTGGATGGGACGTTTCATGTGTCAAGCTCACCCAATGGAAAAATAAATTTCGTGATTGTCAACGCCAATTTGAAAAGTAGCGCATGGCAGTGGCGTAGCTATGTTTACATGTTAAGGGGGGGGGGGGCGGAAATTCATCAAAGTAATCCCATACTCAAAGTTTAAGTTAAGTGGCAGAGGTAGACATATGTTCTCTGGCTGTAGACCATTTGGAGCGCCCACTGGAGTCCTAATCCCTTCCATAGAAACATTTAGTTAATACATTTTGAAAGCCATAGTACTGTCATAATTCGAAGTTGAATTTTAAATTATAACTGTTAAGGCGAGACGACCACCCAGGGTGGCAACATTTCAGGGGTGGCAGAAGGAAGGACAAAAATTAAATTGAAATCCAAAGGGATGATTTGAAAAAAAAAATAGGAGGGAGAAATTGAACAGAGGAAAAATTAAGGAAAATAAAAAGAATAATTAATTAAACAATTATTATAAATGAACTTGTATTCAAAATTTTAAAAAAAAAATATATATATATTTTTACTACAAATTTTTTTTATATCTAAATCATTATTTATTCTAGCCTGGGTGACAGGGGGGGATAGTGGTGGTAGTTAAGGGAAGGTGCTTCATTTTTTCAATTCTTCTCTCTGAAGTAAGGTAGGGCAAAGCACGTTTACACCACTAGAAACTGTTCTTATGGCTAAAGCACAAAAATCAATGATTGCCAATGTCTATGTTATTAGAATGATAGCTGAAATTCAGAGATAAATGTCAACCTCACCAATGTAATCATTAAAAACAGAGTTAAATTATGTTTTAGAATCTTATTAGAAGGACTTTCATTAGTTTGTGAATGTGTAACTTCAGTAAAAAAATGTGAAGGGTGAGGAATAGATGTGTCTTTTGTTGTTGTCGCTGTTAAAATCGTTGTTGTAGTTTGAAGAATGCATTCACCATTCACCTCAACCATGTCAGCACCATGACAGCATACTGTACTTTTGTACTCGTCACATGCGCGTACTTCAAAGTTCTTGAACATGTTGCTACCAACACCACACACGTCACACCGTCTACATTCAGACTGGCATGCTTTTCCCGGTACTTCAATCCTATAATATCCTTCATCACACATGATTTTAGCGTCTCTTGTCTTGGTGCACGGTTCTACAACAATCTCGTACTAGAGTGAGAAAAAAATAATAATGGCGCACTGTACATTTGATTATACATTGAATCATGGTTGGAAATAGAGAAGGTGAATGTCATTGTTCACCACTCACTAACTACTGTCTGAACTCTATATTTAAAGTTGTTGTTTTTTTCTTTCTACTTGTATTTCCATCTTGTGGATGGAGCGTTATTGTTTGTTTTCCACATGCGACCTTTTCGTTCATTCGATCGTTTTCTCGTAAAGTGGTCACCTTAAAAGGAGTTGATTGTCTCATTAAAATTTAATTGTGTCAACATCGCATCTACTTCGTTCCATGAAGGGTGGGTAGGCGTTTTTTTTAAAATTTAAATGTTAGGATTTTGGGGATTTTAAACATAGAGGAAATAACTCTTCTTTTTCGATGATATAAATGATTACAATTTTATTACTGAAAAGTAGAATATAAATAATATATTTAAAAACCTATAAGAAAAACACATCCTTTAAAAGAGGTGTTTACAAGCACTAAAAATTAGAAAACAATGAAATATCCTTAAATTGCGTTATGCAAAGAAAGTCTATGCAAAAACATATGTTCCAAATATTAATTTATAAAAAATATGTTTGTCGATAACCATTTGGAATCGTTTAACCTCATAGGCTGCTGACAGACACTATGTAAGTTTTTTTTCTTTTTCTTATTTTTTTCTTTTTGTTATGCACTTTATGTATATTTAATTGAAATGCTAATGCGTTTAAACGTGTCATTGTTAAAAAGTCTTCTTTTTAACAAAAAAATGTTTTAATGATTTTTAAAGCAATTAAATTTATATTGACCAAACTACGGACAAGAAAAGCTCTTTCAGTAATAAAACCAGGCAACCATTCTATAGCTTACAGGAACTCACCATTCTTGTCTCGTAACATCTCTGACAAATTGAATGTTTCCCTTCTTGTGCCATCTTTGGTGTCATGAATGTTCCATCTTCACAGGGTTTACATTCAAACCAGTCCAGATACTCTCCTTCGCCACAAACTTTTGATTTGATTCCGTCAACATCCGCAACAAAATTTAGAGGCAGAGGAACAGGTCTTGATGGAATGTTAGGATCACAATCACCTTGACTTCTCAAAGATATTGATGGTGTTGATGTAGCTAGTACAATCAATAAAAGCAGAAATATTTGTATGATATACTTTTCCGTTTTATTGTCTGACATCTTAAAAAATTCAATAACACTTCCAAAGTCATAATGTTGTCAAATATTGTTTGAATGTTAGTCCTAAGTAGTGTAATCTTTATTAAGCTTACTTCCAGATCTCTAGTATCTCAGTTATTACAAATTTTCCTATAACAACTCTGGTGTGTAGCTGTAGTTTAATTGTTGTGTCCTTAGAAGTTGTCCGGTATAAACTCCATAGAACATTTTATCATAATATTGAGAATTTAATTTGAAAATCGTCCTCGTACAGTAATTAATAATTTCTGTATTATTATTTCTTTCTTTTAATAGTGTGTGGAAGAAGTTCAATAGTTTATTTCAGTTTTTGGTAGGATAAAAATCTAGAACAACACAGAGTTAACAAAGAGATCCTTCGAGCTGTGGTCAACCATTTGATGTCTTATAGTCCAAAAGTAAATAACAATCACACTTGTCCTTCCACAAAAAACCATATCACTGACTAACGTACCACATTAAGCGAATGTCTTTCTTTAACAAATGCAAAGTTTTCCAATACTTATAACTTGATTTCAGTCATAAGGGCTATTGATTAATCGTTAAATCTTTTGAGTCAGATCGGGGTATATACAATTCAGCGCTTCTCAAATTATATGAGTACATGGAGCAAAAGTTATCTATTTCGTTGTTCACAAAAATGATTTTAAAAATATATATGAATTATATAAATTTAAATTAATCTGTGTTTGCTACTTTAGAAATGTTCATTGTTCCGACATTGCATTTGAATAATTACAATATTTCATAATAAGATAAATCGTCATTATAAACCATGAACTATTGATATTGTCTCTGTTGCATAGCTCAGAATTCCTCCATCATTCACACTCGTGATACGTCAATGGTTTCTATTTTAGCTTAAGAAGACATTTACACTTTGGGATTGTATACTCTTTACAACTTTTCAACCCTCATATTATATTTATATCTTACTCCATGTAAAATTAGTCAATGGAATAGGTTAATTATTTTGCATCAGTAATTAACGCAATATTTGTCCATTGATGTATATATTTTTATTTACATATCACTAAATCTATGCCCTTCCTTACAACAGACAATCTGTAACGCATATTAACATGTAGCCTAGACACATTCAAACACTTACAACGTTACCAGACTTAGATACGCTAAAATCGATAGGACAATAGGCATATTAAACAAGGAAATGATTCACAGTTCCTTGCTTTTAGAGAACAGCGTTAAAGCAGAGGGGGTGTCGTAAAATATTTGAACGTAAATAATGTGCAGACAAATTCACAATTGTGAAGTAATATCTGATGATGGGATCATGCACACGGGCACGCGTGTGTGTGTTAGTGTGTATGTCTGTAAGTGTGTGTACTTGTGTGTTTATGGAATACATTTATACTATAAAATATCGTGGAGAGCACAGTTTTTTTCCCCCTTTATGATGAGAACGACTCGTAAATCAAATCTGTTCTGTGTAATCAGAAGCATTTATAAAAATATTACGACGATTTAATTTTGCATACAATTTTTATATTTCTTAAATTCATTTCTTTCTTATTCTTAGAACGAGATTATTTGAGAAAAGTGCCTCGAGACAAGAGACGCTACTATCATGTGTGAAGACGAATATTATAGTGATGTACCGGGAATACCCTGTCAGTCGGAGTGAGGAGTGAAAAAATTGCAAAGTGATAAAACTGATAAATCAGTCCAATACTCACCCTCACCACAAAAGGTCATCTGCATGTAGAAAACAGCATACGCTCTAGCATATGTTTGGATTGATGGCATATGCATTGGTGGTATGTTAGGACATCCGGAGGAAAGACGTCAGATGGCATAGGCCTTGGTGGTATGTTAGGACATCTGGATGGAAGACGTCAGATGGCATTTTGAAACGGATCTATGTCTGAAAGAGCGTCCACAATATATCCGTTTCAAGCTTGGTCTAATCTTAATGGGCAACTCTTCGCCTTGATATACTACGACCTAAAACAAAACCATTTATAACCATTACGATCCAATTTTCGGCTGACGTCATTAAATAGTTTACTTTTCTCTACTTGTCGACGTTGTTATGTTTGTGTTGCGTCTTTTTCCAGGTTTTCTCGTACCTTGCCTGACATGTTTCCGTCTAAGAAAATAAAATTGTATGACCCGATGTTACGAGGATTATGATGGAGACATTTTGGCGATACTTTTAACAAGGTATCGCAAGATCCCAAAATCTAACAATACCATTTTGCAAACATAACTTAAATAATATACTACTCTCAGAATGTTAATTTAGGAAATAGTTAATCAGACTTTCCTCTACTTTAAAAAGAATTATATATGTATTGATATTTACATTCATGTCATTATTTAGTTTTTAGAAATATCCACATAATTTTGACAGTTTATAATGGCCCGTTTACTTTGTTTGGACCGAGTCTATGGTTAAATTTTTATCGAATTCACTGATTCGTGTCTAAAGTAAATTATAAATAGTTGTCTAAAGCCTACATTCCTAACTAACCTACATTCTGTTCTCTTATAAATGTGTGCTGAATATCGGGTTATAACTGTGTTAAGTTTAAGGCATTACACCTACTTGAAAATGCATATGTAGTAAAGCAGGATAGGCGAAAATCAATTTAAATAATAGATTTGATTTTCGTGGCGCGGTGTTGCAAGTCTCATATTACAATGACTGAATTAAGACTCAGACTATTCCTTACTGGTTAGAACAACACAACCCAGGATCGTGTGTAAAATTCAGCGTGATTCTATTGGGGTTGGGGGGGGGGGGGCTTATTTAGACTCGGGATTGACCCGAATTTTTTTGGGCATCGGGGGTTTGGGCTTTTGCTATACACTAAGTTCACCCTAGAATTAAGACTCAGACTATTCCTTACTGGTTAGAACAACACAACCCAGGATCGTGTGTAAAATTCAGCGTGATTCTATTGGGGTTGGGGGGGGGGGCTTATTTAGACTCGGGATTGACCCGAATTTTTTTGGGCATCGTGGGTTTGCGATTTTGCTATACACTAAGTTCACCCTTCTTCCCTCCTAGTCTGATTTCAATTTTGTTGGACTTTACTACCCAAACTTCCTAAACATGGCATTTGCAATATAGGTGCCTTAGTTATTAAAACAATTTCCCATTGTTCACAAGTTAAAATTGTATTTACGCAAAAATTAAATACATTTCTGAAGTCATTTACTATAGTAAAAATAACTTTTGGGGCTTAAGCTAAAGGGGTTTAATTTAATATAATGTAACCAATGCTACACATTTTTTCTTGGGGCTTAAAAACGTCAACTCGGGAATTATTATTATAGATTTTGGCATGGAAATAAAATATAATAGCAATACTTCTCTATTCAGACTTAATGGTTAAATTTTTTAAAGGTTATGACATCAGGAATAGTAAAGATGTCTATTTATTCTTGTAGGGACCTGATCTTTTTAAAAAGCTATTTTATTAGGTCTAAGATTTTTAAAAATCAGCACCATTACGTGACGACTGAATAAACACTTGACTAGAAAAGGAGAAAGATGAGACCATTGTTTCGTTAAATATCACATATGGTTTTTTTATTTTTTATTTTCAGTCATTAAATTTGCAATTGCCATTATCATTTTCAATGGATATGACGAAGATTTTCCTCAAGGCTCAAAATTTAAATATAATTGAATATATTTCTAAAATGTAAGACGTTCTGATAATAAAAATCATTTAATCAGGCGACACATTTAATTATTAATTTTATTGTGTACTTACTTAAGAAACATTCTAATAAACAGCACAAGCAACCAAGAAATAAAATCCTCAGGCGCTTTTGGTAACTGGGAAAGTCCACCTCGAAAGGCGGCCCATGAGATAGAAAGAAAATCTCCGATTGCAAGGCTGTCCTCCTTTGGGATTAAATAAAAGACTATTGGAGTAACATACCCTCCCACGTACACACTATATAAAAAAAACTCAAGCTGGTCCAACATTGTACTTATGACGTTTGTTTTATAACTTCTGCGACGCCCCGGGTGTCAAACTGATGTTCCGTATGTTTTATTACCTGCGTGGAAATGGCGGAGCTTCTGAAAGAGAAAAATATTTTCTCCATAAAAACTTACCCACAAAGTCTTTGGTTTTGCTTGTTTAACCAAAAGCCATATGGCCGCTCCATTTTTTACAATGTATCTCTCTCTCTCTCTCTCTCTCTCTCTCTCTCTCTATCTCTATATATATCTCTCTCTCTCTCTCTCTCTCTCTCTCTTTCTCTCTATACATATATATATATATACACATACACCTATATGTAAGTGAGTGTATGTTTTGACCATTGAGATGTAAAAAAAAAATAGTATATAAGTCGTAGAGCCACGTTTTTAAAACCGACATTGGACAATTTCCATTAGTAATAATGAAGTTTACTATAAGGTTCGATATATTCTTATAGTCGAGAAAATTCTGATCCATTTAAAGCACTAAAAAGAAATTATAAACTTATAATTGCCTACAACTTGAGAATGTGGAAAGTAACTAAGAAAAAATAATAAACCTAAAAAACAAATACATTGTTTGATAACAAAATATAATGTACCGAATAAAATCACCAAAACTCATTGGCAATGAAATGAAAATGTCATTGAACTTCATAACCATATCTCGTAATTTTAATATGAAAAACTTAACTTTAAAACAAAATTATTATAAAAATTAATGCTCCAAATAAATGATGTAAAATTGTAAATATTTATTTAACACTTTAAACACATTTGTTCAATACAAATAAATAATTTAGGATCTTATTCTGTTATATTTTTGATATATAGATGTAATTTTATTTATATATATAAATATATATAAAATTTATTTGAAATAATTTTAAGAATCAATCGAACGCTAACATAATAAAACCCTTGAAACCGAAAGTTTATTCCAAAATAACTTCTGTACCGTACATTTAAAAGTATATAGATATCTACCACTGGAGATCATTCTATATTTTTAGGAATTATTTTGATAGTTTTCAGTTTTTACTTGTAATTTTGATATATGTATGTCTGGTTCCCTCTAGGCCATCGAAATGATACCGATCTTCACTTGTCAGGGTCTCATGCCTGGTAAGTGTTATTTGCTTAAAGGAAACTTTAATTTCCTGGGAAATCTAAACGTGTTAAGAGTTTATTGATTAGGTATTGATTTGTAATGTGGGTAGGTTGATAGTTTGGCTTTCCTATTATCAACACTCCAACGATCTCCAACGAGTTCGATCTCTTCCCCTACCATTTTTAGCTTAAACCGCGCTCTAAATATCCTAAAATTTTACTTCCACTAACATTTAACAGTTACATGCCGTCACCCTAATTACCGCAAACCAGCTTCCCTGAACACCACCTCACACTTAATCAATCCTCATACTTGCTCTCATTCCCCTTAAATATGTCCTATAAACACATCTACCCTTTCTGTTAGCCAATATTTCTCTCTCTCTCTCTCTCTCTCTCTCTATCTTTCCCGCTCTCTGACATTCCAGTCCCCTGATTTAGTACAATTTAATCATTTTAGAAAAATGTATTCACCGAAATAAATCCATTACAGACAATGACATTAACAGGTCTTGATGGAATGTTTGGATCGCAATATCCATGATTCTTCTTAGCTTCCAACAGTTCTGATAACACATAAATTTCATTCAATTGTAAACAGAAAATTGTTCCGCAAACGATCACAGGGTGATTAGGAGTGTTTCGCTGGGATTGTAGTCTATAGATAAGAACCACTATGATCCATATGTAAACTTGAAGTATGATTTATTTTAAAACATACTGGCACGTCAACGGTTCTTAAACGAGAGTGCATGTCACACAAGTCTTGTCTTGCCAAATACTTAAAAATGAAACAACCAGATAAACATAATAAAATAATATGATCAAGACTAATATTTTTTTTAATATTGATTATGGTTTTACAAATAATGTCATCAAATAATTTTAGAAGTGGGACATTAAAGTTCAATGAGAACCATATTTTAAGTTGAACGAGCTTATCTCATTCCAGGAACAAACATTTTCCAAGGAAATCTATCAGAAGATTTAAAGTTATTTTGCTTAAGGAATGGGCTTTTTGTCGCATTATGTGGTTTAAAGTTCTGATAATACAATAAATAAATGCCAAGCCGGTCTTTTCAGAGACGAATCATTTTTTCAGTTATTTAAAAAAACTTACAATTGTTCAATTTCTCTATTCAAATCTATTCATGTCTTTAAAACAAATTCAGAACAATTTTTCAATTGATCAAACGTTAAAAACAAAGAGAGTCCAATTAAAATCATAAGAAAGAACTTGGGAATCTCTGAAAATATTCTATGTTAATAACAAGGAGGTGGTGATTATTCTTCGAAATGTCTTATTTGAACATGAGTAGCAGAATGTAGCACTATATTAAATGACAAGTCATTTTCTTACCTGTTATCCGGACATAGTGACATCGATGTATGAAAAAAAAATTACTTGGAATTTTAGAGATGTCTTACCGAAAACTGAATTATCATGCACATATTTCGAGTGTCTTACAACCAATATCGCCTCTCCCATCCTCCCCCCCCCCCCCCCCCCCACCCAAAAAAAAAAAAAACAAACACCTCCATAATATTCTCCTACTTAAACTGCATTTTAATGATGAGTTTTATGAAGACTAAAAAGACAGGAGAGAATTTAAGATTTATGGATAGATTGTGATCAGGCATTTTGTTCATAAGCTGTCCGATTTTTACCGGATTTGGCATCATTAATGACGTCAGACCGAATCCCGCCTCCTTTTCGTCGTTGCCAACACAAATATTTGTTATGTCAACTGAAAACGCTCATTACAATTTCTGATATTTGTCAAAAAATGATGCTGAGACTCCTTCATTCGTGGATCCACTCAACACATCTGAAAGTCTGAAAGTCTACCCTTGAGCTTTGTCTATTTTTTAGGGCACGCAGACTTTGAACGCAAACTCCAGTCGCTTAAACTGAAATTGGTAGATGGGGGAAATAATAGAAATTCCGGGTGTTTCGACAAAACCACAACCTGTAAAGATGGTTTCTTTACTGGTAATTTTAGGTGACGCCTTAACCTCCAGCCTTGTGCCGTCACTACATTCAGAGAATATTAGATTGCAAAGTAGCATGATAGGAGTATGAACTTTAAGACAAAGATGGATTCCTCAAACTGTAAAGGAACTATATATGCGTCAGTGGTATGTGACTTATATATATATAGATGTATGTATGTATTATTTATCTATACATATTTTTTTATTTTGGAAAAGAGTTTGCCCAGTTTGGCTGAGGAATGATTATTCAATAATGATGCATTTCATAGTGTTCAGACGTCAAGTAAATAACCACTCAACACAATGTTCTTATTTTATCAAATGACTTACGAATGCTATATAAAAATATGTTTTGTTTTGAATTAAATGATATTAGAAACAAAACCAAGCACATTCGAAAATGAAAACATTATTAAGTCGACACTTGCATCTAAATAATTGAATAAAATGTATTGCATTTTTTTCTCAATTAAAGGAAAATTATCAGTTCTAAAACACTGTTTCTCTAAGAAACGCAAACATCCTATATGAACGCAACAGATTTATTTCAACATCTAAAAAGTCTTACACGAACGTCTGATCTAGCCAAGTTGTATCGTTAATAAGCATTAAATAAATGTCAACACATCAATTTTACTGATTTATTTTTTTAAATTGTGTGTGTGTTCTAATGATATCAAGATGTATTATAAAGAAGCTGTTAAAAGATATGCATATTCGATGTCACAAAATAAATTTAATTGGCCAACAAAAAAATGTAATTGTCTTGATATATATTAATAAATTCAACACGCAGAAATTTGGTATTTTTCATGGACACTAAAGTACTTTGGTCAAAAATAAACATTTGTAAATCATTGAACCTCAGTACTATGTTAATCCTTACACATGTGTACACTATTACAGCAGTAGCAAAAATTTTCATCACAACATTTTATTTTCTATTAAAAATACTAAAGCACTAAATCATTGCTTGAGAATGTCTATGTTATTTGAACAAAAACGCAAAGATTATTTAGAAACAAATGCCAACCTCACCTATGTAATCATTAAAAATAGCGTTGAACTTTGATTTAGAGTCTTATAAGAAGGATGTGCATTAGTTTGTGAATGTGTAACGTCAGAAAATGTATATAAGGGGCGTGTAGATGTGTCGTTTGTAGCTGTTGTAGCTGTTAAAACCGTTGTTGTAGTTTGAAGAATGCATTCACCATTCACCACATGCATGTCGGCACTGCTACAACATATTGTATTTTGGTACCCGATGCATTCACGTATTTCAAAGTTCTTGAACATATTCCTGCCCAGACCGCACACGTCACATGGTCTACATTCAGACTGACAGATTGTTCCCGGTACGTCATTTCTATAATATCCGTCTTCACACATGATTGTAGCGTCTCTTGTCTTGGTGCACGGTTCTACAACAATCTCGTACTAGAGGGAGAAAAAAAAAATTTAAAAAAAAATACCTCTCCCCTAATTTTGCTACACTTTAAATCCCGTTTTAAAATGGGGGAGTTGCGGGTACGTATTTACCGCTCTATTAAAACGCTCTTATCCCTCTTGTGAGTTTATTTTGTCAAAACTACAGAAAAGAAAAGCAAGATGAATATGAAAACCTGGCAATTATTCTATAGATAAAAGGCACTCGCCATTCTTGTCTCGTAACACTTCTGACAATGTGAAAGTTTCCCTTCTTGTGCCATCTTTGGTGTCATGAATGTTCCATCTTCACAGGGTTTACATTCAAACCAGTCCAGATACTCTCCTTCACCACAAACGTTTGATTTGATTCCATCCACATCCGCAACAAAATTAAGAGACAGAGGAACAATTCTTGATGGAATGTTAGGATCACAATCACCTTGACTTCTCAAAAATATTGATGGTGTTGCTGTAGTTAGTACAATCCATGAAAGCAGAAATGTTTGCATGATATACTTTTCTGTTTTATTGTCCGACATCTTATATTATTCAATAACACGATCAAATTCATAACATATAAAAAATTGTATTAATGTTAGCCCTAAATAATGTAAGCTTTATTAAGCTTAATTCCAGATGTCTTTGATGTGTATCAATAGTTTAACAGTTGTGTCCTTAGAATTCGCCCAGTATAAAATCCATAGAATATGATATCATCTATATTTAGAATTTCACGTAAAATTCCTTCTCGGACATCAATTAATAATTTCTGTATTATTATTGTTTTCTTTTCACACTGTGTAGAATAATTTCAATAGTTCATTTCAGTGTTTGGTAGGATAACAAAATTTTGAACAACACAGAGTTAACTAAGAGATTCTTAGGGCTGTGGTCAACAATTTGAAGGCTAAAAGTCCAAAAGTAGAAAGTAAATGGCAATCACACTTGTCCTTTCACGAAAAACCATATTGCTGACTAACGTACCACATTAAGCGAATGTCTTTCTTTAACAAATGCAAAGTTTCACAAGACTTATATCTTGATTTCAGTCACATTGGCTATTGATTAATCGTTAAATCTTTTGAGTCAGGTCGGGGTATGAGCGCCTCTCAAAATTTGAGTACATGGAGCAAAAGTTATTTATTGCGTTGTTCACAAAAATGTTTTTTTAAATAATAAATTGCATACATTTAAGGTGATTGAATTACAAGTTTGTACACCAGGTTGTGAAGCATATTTCTATATTTTAATTTAAATGGGGCATACTTTGATTTTAAATAAGAGGCCCCGCTGTTTTATCAAATCTGTGTTTGTTACTTTAGAAATTTTTGTCGGCCCGAAATTTCATTTCAATAAGGCCAATATTTCATTATAAGATACATGGTCATTATAAACCTTAAACTATTGATATTGTCTCTTTATGCATATCCCAGAATTCCTACGTCATTCGCATTCGTGATACGTCGATAGTTTCTATTTTAGCTTTAGAAGAAACAAACACTTTTGTATTGTATACTCTTTACACCTTTTCAATACTCATATTACGTGTATATCTTTCGTCATGTAGATTTGGTCATTGGAATATGTTAATTCTTTAGCATTAGTTAATAACGCAATATATGTACATAAATTTATTTAATTTTTAACATATCACTACACGTATGGCCTTCCTTACAACACAAAATCTGTAAAGCATATTAACATATAGCCTAGACACATTCAAAGACTGGCAAAGTTACCAGACTTAGCTAAGCTAAAGTCGATAGTAGTACGCATAGTAAACAAGGGCGTTATTCCTAGTAGCTTGCTTTTAGATAACAGCGTTAAAGCATTAAGAGTGTCGTAAATTGTTTGAACGTAAATATATGCACACAAAAATCACAATTTTGAAATGACGTTTGCGGGGGGGGGGGGTGTTGAGAAATAATACAATATTAAATAAATTTTAGCTTGCTGAAAATTCCTAGTAGCTTGTTTTTAGATAACAGCGTTAAAGCATTAAGAGTGTCGTAAATTGTTTGACCGTAAATATATGCACACAAAAATCACAATTTTGAAATGACGTTTGCGGGGGGGGGGTGTTGAGAAATAATACGATATTAAATAAATTTTAGCTTTCTGAAAAAGTTGACGTAAAAGCTTTCTGGCCTAGAGATAAATACTGTTAAGTCTCAAAATAGCGAACTTAAGTTCCACTGAGTGAGAAAAATAGCTACTGCCCAAGTAGCTTTCAATGCAGACACTAATAATGTCCTTTCTTGGAAATATAAAAAAAACATTTCTATAAACCTTTAAATCTTACACATGTATACTTAACGTAAAAGTCTTTGTATGTAATGTCTACTCATGTTCGGTTGGTGAACGCAGGGGGGGGGGCATAACTCCTGAAATAATGTGCATACATCATACCCTTCTATGCCTGTTGGTCAAACGAAAGAATTCTTCTATGGCTCATGTTTGCTGATGCTCGTTCAAATTCATAGCAGAGAAGAAAAAAAATGTACTAACTTCCTAATTTAAAATACAAGAAGGTTTTTTTTTTTTTACGTTAAAGTTATTTAATCAAGTTTTATAAACGAATAAATAATAACATTGAGAGAAATCAATATTTATTATGTTATGTATACATTTCTGTGGATAATGTTGTGAGTGCATTTGCCAATTTCTCTTAAAAATTCGTTAAATTTGTTTTCCATAACAGTAAAGTTAACACTGCTGGATTACATAATATGGATTACTTCAGCTGGATGGGGTCAATGGGTATATTTCTATCCAGCTCGCTGACCATCCCACCCACACACCCATCCGTTATTTCTTTCGAATTGTGATGATTTGAGGTTGGACATTGTCGAATTCTTCCACCATAAATCCGCCCTTGTAAACCCCTGTAAACCCTTGTAAACCCTTGTAAACCCTTGTAAACTCTTGTAAACCCTTGTAAACCCTTATAAACCTTTGTAAACCCTAACCCTAACCCTTCCTCCCCTCAGTTTTGTCCTTGCAGTAGTAAACCAGAGTTATTTCTCTTGTTGTTACTGCATTGCTACGCCTAACAGTTCACGCAAAAGCGTTAGTTTGCATTCTCCCCCCCCCCTCCCCACACACCGATAAAATTTGAGGGTAGGAGGTCAAACCCTCAAAATCAAAAGTGATTATCTATGTATGGGAAAACAAACAACATTTAAACCACCCAATTGAATCAACATCCAACTCAAATACATAGCCAGAACTAATAAGAATCTTTCATTTTATGATCTGATCCCTTGACTGTGGACGCTGGAGTAACTAGACTTAGGACTTCAATAACGGGATCATTAACTGCAACCTAGAATACTAGTAAGTACGCAACGATGATTTTGATATTATGTTATTGTACTTGTAATATTCATATAATTATGTACCAAGTATTCGATCGTGATTGATATTATTATTATTTTAGTATTGCCTATATTATCTTATTGTTATTTTGTATTGTAATAGTGCCTTTGCCGCGGGCTACAACACTGCCATCCCATCATAGAGATGGTAGGTTGTTGTTCCAACTTGCGCATGTCTCTTTTAACAAGAGGACATCATGTATACGATGTACCTATAAATTTAATGTTTGTTAATGATTCAATGTCCCATACTTCATTAAATAAAATGTTTGCTTGGTCCAAGTTTCTGCATAAATTTGTTATTTTTAGACATTACACTAATTTACATTTTTCGTGAGCAGAAAAGTTTAAAGGTCATTCACATTAATTATCTTTTTATAGGACGTGGTGTACACATGTACAGATCTATATTTAAACGACAAAGTGTATATAAAAACATATTTATATGTGAGTGTGTGTGGTTATGAGCGTGCTTCTGTGAGTCTGTGTACGCACATGTTTGTGTGTGTGTATTGCGTGCAAATGTGTGTTTCTGTGAATGTGTGACTGTGAGTGTGTGTGGGACCGTGCAAGTGTGTGTGTGTGTGTGCACGCGCATGATCGCATTTGTGTGTATGCGTATTTGTGTGTAATTGTATGTGTGCGTGAGCTCGCGTGTGAATTAGTGTATATGTGTGTGTAATTGTTTTTTTTTGGGGGGGAACACATTCCTACTTTTAAATTCTCGGGGAGAACACACAGGCTTGTTTCTCCCGTTAAGATGAGAACGGTTCGTGTAAAAAAAAGATATGCTCTGCCAAATTAAAAGTATTTTTTTTTTAAATATGGCGACGGGTAAATTTTCTTGCATTTTTTTATTTTTAAAATGAGATTGTTTTAGAGGCGTGTACCAAGACAAGAGAAGCCACAATCGTGTGTGAAGATTGATATTATAGATGTGACGTTCCGGGTAAAACCCAGTTAGTCTAATTGTAAAGTGCTAAAAAATCGTCAAAGAGATAAAACGAATAAATCAGTCCAAAAAGTCACCCATACTACAAACGGTCATCTGTGTAGGGTATAAGCTCTACCATGTGTTTGGATTGCTGACATACGTCTGGATGGTATGTCAGCACATCCGGATGGAAGAGGTCAGGGGGCATTTTGCAAATGATTTATGTTTGAAAGAGCGTCCACTATATATGCGCTTCAAGCGTTAGCTCTATACTTCGTCAGGTTTTTGCAACTCTTCGCATTAATATTATTATACAACGGCCTAAAATAAAACTATTTATAACCCCTACATAAACATTTTCAGCTACGTTGTTATACAGCTTACTTGATGCTTCTTGTCGACGTTGTTATGTTTGTGTTGCGTCTTTTTTTCCAGCTTTTCTCGTACCTTGTCTGACGTGTTTCCTTCTAAGAAAATAGAATATTGACCCGATGTTACGGGGGCTTTTAACATAGACATTTGGAAATACTTTCAACATGTTTCAAATGTTATTGCAAGATTTCAAAATTTAACCAGCAATTTTTTACAATATTTAACTTCAATAATGTACTATGCCTTTTTAAAGTTAATTTAGGAAATAGTTAATATGACTTTCCTTATTTTAAAAAGAAGTGTATTAAAGATTGATATGTACATTTATATCATCATTTAGTTTTGAGAAATATTTATGTGCTAAGTAATAGTGGTCTACCCTACCCCTTTTCACGTCCCTGAAGTACAAACAAAATATCCCTTTAAAAGAAAAATTGTTTTTAAAAAGCAAATTTCCTTAAATTTACTATAAATTTAATTTTTGGCGTTAATTTCTTTTTTTTTTCTCTCCCAGATATCGTTGATCTCTTCTAATATTTACGTTGATTAAAAAAATAAAATGGACTTTGATTATTTCTAGTTTAATGAATTATGCGACATACCTCACTCATGTCACACAACGGTTTCAGCATAACAAATAGTTTTATAGTATTACATTTACAGCTTATCTGTCCCTTTTCAGAGTTAAAAATATACTTAAGATGCATATAGAATGACATGTGTTGTCTTATGCTAATAAATTAAATTTCACCATCTTTTATAATCTGGATTTTTTTCTCCATAAATAATATATATTAAATGCCATTTACAGTCATTTCAACAAAGTAACAAGATTATTGCATTTAAAAAATCTATTTCCTTTACGAATTTCTTTCCGTTCAAAATTGTAAGTGGAAGATATTTAAAAATTTTTAATTTTTTAATTTAAAAAACGACGTCTTTTTTTAGTAAATTATTATTGATTTACATTTATAAAAACGTCTTATTTCAACAAATGGCCTCAGTTTTACTAGGGTAAAATTTGTGAGAGACTGCTGTCATTTTAGAAAAAAAAGGAAATGAGTGGTTAAAATTATGTGAAATTCTTAAAAAGGACGTGTCGGCAAAAAACCTTCCTCAGCGAAAAAACGCCCGAAAAAAAAGAACTCATTTTAAAAAAATAAAAATTAGCTGTAATGTTGACAACAAGAGGAATGTGCAAACACAAATTCCCTGACGTTACCTAAGATCATCTTCTGGGTGGACAAGGTTAATCTTCTGAAAGAGAAACAGAGCTTTCTCCATAAAAACTCATCGCCAATGCCTTGTGATTTCGCTAGTTTAACCTAAAGCCACACAATCGTCTGTTTTAACAATGTTACTATACGTTTTTGTATGTGTATGTTTTGCAGAACAATAAT